GGCTAGCCAGCTAGCTGTGGCTAGCTGAGCAGAGCAACAAGCAGCCACAAGCGAAGAGAGAGCAACAGGTGTCTTGGGCTTAGGGTTTAGGGTTTAGGGTCTAGGGTTTAGGGTTTGGTGGACTTTATTTCTTTTACCTGAGAGTAGCTAAATCGGGCCTCTTTAGCCTCTCATTCCTCACCAGCGCTAAACCCTAAACCCTCGCTAAACCCCAAAACCCTAGCTAACGCCTTTAACCCCGCAATACTCTCTAAACCCTAAACCCTAGCTAAACCCTAATTACCATCTTACACACCGCTCTCTGACGAGATAGAGGCTACAGGAGGGGCTAGCTAGCCACAGCTAGCCACAGCTAGCCACAGCTAGCCACCGCTAGCCAGAGCTAGCTGCTTGAAGCACTAGGGCCTAGAGCTTTTGAATTATATTTTTGCATTAGAGAATTTATAATATAATTCAACTGCGCCTGTGCTGCTGGACGGCCGCTAAGCAGCACATCTGCTGCTGCTGCGGAGCAGCAGCAGCAACAGCAGCAGCAGCAACAGCAGCAAACTCCCCCTTGCGGATTTTACGCCTGGAAACACGAGCTACAGGGGCTGCTGGGCCTGCGGCTTCCCACAGCAGCTCTTGGGGGAATAAACCCTAAACCCCAAACCCTGAATCTTCCTCCTTAAACATTCTAAACCCTAAGTCGTAAATGCCAAATCCTAAGCTCGAAACGGCTGAAGGCTCGGACGCTACACCCTCAACCCTAAACCCTGAACCCTAAGCCCTAAACCCTAAACCCTAAAGGGCCCCGGGTCAAACGGGATATAAATGGGAGGCGAATGGGACCAAAAAAACTTCTTTCAAAGTTCGTCTAAAGGCGCATGCGCTGCAGCAGCAGCAGCTGCTGCGCCCTCAGATATATGCACTCAAGAGGCCAAGCCTTTAGGGCTGCTGCGCCACGTATGCAACAAGTAATAGCTAGCTAGCTAGCCAGCTAGCTACGTAAAATCTAGCTAGCTAGCTAGCTAGCCAGGTGAGTACGAGCTAGATAGCTAGCTAACCAACTAGTGAACTAGCTGTCTAGCTCACTAGCTAGCTAGGCAGCAGGCAATCACTGTAGAATTAAAAATAATTTATATTATAAATAATAATTCTACATCATAATCCATTAAAATAGTACTGCTGTTGCGTTGCTGCATGGCTCTGCAGTCAGCATGAGGCAAAGAACACAAACTTGAAAATGATTAACATTTACATAATTCAAAATTACCATTTTACGAAATAAAAGCAGCGGCGTGGCGTGGGCTGCATGCAAGTGGGGCCCCAGTCTGCCACTGTCACTTAATGGGGACTAAAAAGTGGCAAAAGAGAACAAACGGATTAAAAAAGAATAATAAAGTGGCTTTTGGACCCAGAGTTGCATGCGAACTGCGTGTGCCCGGGCGACTTCGCGGGAAACAATCCCCGCAGTTCCCTGCAGAACAGAAGACAGAAAAGCACTCAAAGCGCGCAGTTTCCGCGCGAAACTCCATAAAAAGAGTTAAAATGCGTCCGCCTTTGCGAAGTCTTTAAAAATAGAACTAAAAGATGCAAAAGGGAGAAAAAATCCGAAAAAGACTTGCAAAAAGCTCGGCGTTGGCCGCCGCGGGCCGCCGCAGCCCGGGCGCGGCCCCCCGTTGTCCCACCGCGGAACGCAGCGGGCACTTTTCCCTGCTCTGTTTCCAGCCTGGGGCGTTGCGCGCCGCAGCATCTCCAGCGATCCTCCCGCCTCCGCGCGGGGATCGCCGGGGGCTGCGATCCCAGTGGGGCGTTTGGCCGCTAACACCCCACACTACAGCGGCACCACTGATGCCTCCACCGAGCCGACCCCCGCACGGGTAACAGCGGCTCGCTACGCCCGCCAGTCGCTCATGGGTTGGTGCGCAACTGCGGCTGGGCTAACGCCCCTCACGCCAGGTGACCCTGTTCCCGCCTTCTGTTCCCCCTCCCGGAACTCTGAATTGGGGGGGAAACTTGAAATAAAGGATTGGTTAAGCTTTTTTAGGGATTTGGTTCTTTTTCTGCGCGGTTTGGTGCAGGTGAGATGGAATTCCCGCGTTTTCGCAGTGCGGGTTGGCAAAGAACCTGCAGCCGCCCACCGCCAGCACGTGCAGGCTTTTTCTGTCTCACTCCAGGGGTTTCAAACGCTTTTTTGTGCCTAATACTATTAAAAATAATATTTAATGATTTTTAACAATTACATTGCTCCTAAAAGAGGATAGGTTTGCCGCAAATGCAGTGCTGGTGGGTTCTGTCGCCGTGCGGGGGTGACCCTCAAGGACACGCTGCACGCCATGCTCCCCTGTGGATAAAAGTTAACAGTTCTGATCAAACTAATTGTTTTTAATATTTTAAATACTTTGTTGCATTGTTACAGAGTCTGTAAAAGCATGAAATGGTCTGCAGTATCTCCCAACCCGCAGCACATCAAGCCTTGCCTTGACCAGAGAAGGCGCCTAAGCCTCAAACGATGAGCCCTTAAAGCTACTCTTTCTAAATACCCTCTAAAATAAAAAAGTCAAAGTCTACAGCTCTATAAAGGGCATTAATGCCCCGCCATCTTCTCTGGTTCTGTTCGCGAGTAGCCAACAAAGAGAAAAGACTTCTATCTTGTTGCTTCCTCAAATGAAAAGGCAATTCCATTTTACGCTGAGGCAGATAACCTAGCAGCTAATTCCATTTCCAGTCTAGTAGCTCTTGCTGCAACCTTGAGCTGATTGGCCCACTGGTACAACTCTGCGGATGAGTTGTAATGCCACGGCAGCGACAGCATCAGCAGCTAACTGCGGCAACAACTGCAGCAGGAGCAGCTTCTGCTGCATTGCGCCATAAGGCCAACGCAGAGGCAGAAAACGCTGCGCTCTGCAACAAGGGCGCATAAGCAGCAGCAGCAGCAGCAGTAGCAGCAGCAGCAGCTGCAGCAACAACTGCAGCAGCAGTTGCGGTGCGCCTTGTGGCCGCCTAGCAGGAGCACTAAGTGCTGCACTGGGCAGTTCGGGCAGAGCAGCCCGAGCAGCAACAGCAGCAGCAGCAGCAAGTGGTCTAGTTCAAAGAAGGCAGCACGAATGCTGTTTCTTTGTCTTCCTTTCCTTCCTCATCTGCGCCTCTTTGGGAGTCCAAAAGCCTGCACACGCATGCAACCCCATTTTGTTTTAAACAAACAAATTAAATCCGTTATGTGAATGATTTTACAAATAATTTAATAAATACTTTGACAAATAATTTAATAAATAATTTTAAAAGTAGTGTCGCAACTAAACCACTGAAAAAGATAAAATAGAGAGGCTGCCCGGGGGAGAGAAGCCCAAACCCTGAAGTCTAGCGCGCAAATCTGAAACCCTAAACCCTAGCCCGCGAATCTGAAACCCTAAACCCTAGAGCGAAGCTGAATCCCCAAACCCCAGCGCGAATCTGAAACCCTAAACCCTAGCGCGAAGCTGAATCCCCAAACCCCAGCGCGAAGCTGAACACCTAAACCCCAGCGCGAAGCTGAACACCTAAACCCTAGCGCGAAGCTGAACCCCTAAACCCTAGCGCGAAGCTGAACCCCTAAACCCTAGCGCGAAGGTGGGCCCCTAAACCTTGGCGTGAAGGTGAAACGCTAAACCCTAGGGTTTCGTGGACCCACCGCTGCTGCTCCGTCTTGGAGAAAACCTCCAAACAAAAAACCCTCCCCACAAGTCGAGTTTTGCTGCTGAGGATGGCCAGCAAGTGGTACTCCCCTGTCCTGTCTATACAGCCCAGCGGCACGCCCCCCATGTCCTCCTCCATCCCCTGCTGCTGCTGCTGCTGCTGCTGCTGCTGCAGGGGGAGGGGGGCCCCCCGGGGCGCGAGCTTGCGGCGCAGCAGCCGCAGCTGCCCTGGGAGAAGGTCCAGGCCTTCTTCTTGGCTCAGTTTGTCTAAGACTTGCTGCAGACTGACTGGCTGCAGCAGCAAATTGTCATCTGTTTATAAAAAATAAATTTAAATTTGAAGTTGAATAAGACGCAGCAGCAGAAGAAACCTGCATCGACACACGAGGGGCCCCCCGTGCTCTCTATGGGTCCCAACCAGGGGCCCCCCTGGGGCCCCCTGAAGGCCTCCCAGGGCCCCCTGGGGGTCCCTACGGGGGCGCCCTGGGGACCCCTTCCAGCAACCCTAGGGGGCCCCCACAGAGGTCTTTTAGGCTATTTTCTGGGTTGCCTGCAAATGCTTTAGTGGCTTAGGTGTATGGAGTTGTAGCTGTTCTCCTTTGTGTCTCGATCGCTTCGTATCAGGGTTTAGGGTTTAGGGTTTAAGGTTTAGCGTTTGGGGTTTCCAGTGAGGGTTTAGGGTCAGGCATAAGCTGCATTACTGTGTGTGTGAGTTGGGCTCGAAACACCCGCCACAGGGGCTGTCAAACCATTAAACCCTAACCCTAAGAAAACCCTAGTTAAAATTCCCTAAACCCTAAACCCTAGGGACGCCCTAGTTAATCTTCCACAGACGCTAAACCCTAGGGATACCCCAATTAATCTTTCTATAACCCCAAACCCTGGAAACACCCTAGCTAGCCCCTCCTAAACCCCAAACCCTTGGTAAACCCGAAACCCTAAAAGAACCCTAGCTAGTCTTTTCTAAACTCTTTCCAACTCCTTCCTAAACCATTTCTGCTTTGCTCTCGCGCCTGTCTCCTTGCTGCTCTTTTTGCTGCTGCACAAATCAATGGAAACCATTTGAGTCTTCAAGCTGCTGCTTGCTGCAGTTGCAGCCCCCAGATCTCCCAAACAAGCATTAGCAGCAGCAGCAGCAGCAGCGCCAGAAGCAGCAGCGGCAGCAGCAGTAGAAGCACCGCCACAAACAGCAGCAGCAGCACGAGCAGGAGCAGAAGCAGAAGCAGCAGAACCACAAGCAGAGGTTGCAGCAGTAACCCCCACGCTGCAAGCAGAAGCAGCAGCCGCAGCAGCCGCAGCACAAGCAGCAGCAGCAGCAGCAGGAGTCTCTAGAGCAGCAAGAGAATGAGGCGGCGGTGGTTTGTCTTCGGCTTGTTCTCCTTTGGCGCTGCTGCTGCCGCTGCTGCTGCCCCGTGCAGCAGCAGCAAACAGACTCTCTCGCCAGCCCTAACCTTCTTGTCAGTGCCTCCTCGGGCTCTGCAGCTCCGCCAGTCTGCTGCAGCAGCAGCGCGCGGCACTGCAGCAGCAGCAGCAGCAGCAGCAGCAGTAGCCGAGCAGGCAAAGACAACGGGCGTCCCGCTGGGCACAACGGAGGCCCTTGAGTGAGCTCAATTTCACATTTAAAAAATTTTAAACCACTTTTTTGAGTTTGAAACCTTTTTTTAAAAATTTAAAACTCTACTTTTGAATTAAAAACCTCTTTTGAACTTAAAACCCTTTTTTGTTAATTAAAAACCCTTTTTTTGTTTCCTTCCCCCCCTTTTAGGGTTTTTGTTTCCCCATTGTTTCTGCCTTGTGAGTTGCACAGGGAGCTGCTGCGCCGATCAAGGCCAGGGCCTTTCAACACTGAGGGGCCCCTAAAGGGGGCCCCCCAGTGGGGGCCCCCCGAGGAGGCCCCCCATGGGAGGGCCCCAGCGGCGGGCCCCCAGGAAGGGGCCCCTGAGGGGGGCCCCCATGGGGGCCCCCCTTGGGGGGCCCCCCGGTCTCTGTGCATTATGGGCTGCACCGGGAGTGTGGGGGCCCAGGCCCTAGAAGTTGTGCGGCAGTTTCCTGGGTGGTTCCGTGTGCGAGCTCTTGTTGCTGCAGGGTCTAGGCTGCAGCCTTTGCTGCAGCAAACCCTCGAGTTTAGGTGCGGCTGCTGCTGCTGCTGCTGCTTCTGGCGTTGTTGGGTGTTGCTGCTGGCCCTTGCTGCAGCCACTCAGGCTCGCCGCTGCTTCTGCTTTTCTTCGCCGCCACTGGCTGCCGCCGCGACTGCGGGTTCGTGCTGCTGCTGCCGTATCTGCTGCAGCAGCGGCTAATGCAGCTTGCTGCTGCAGCTTGCTGCTACTGCTGCATTTATTTGTTTGCACTGCTTCCTGCGTGCTGCGTCTGCTGCCTCACAGGCCCGACTTCGTGATAGTGGACAGCGCCGAGCGCGCCAGGGCACTGCAGGAGCTGCTGCGGGGCGCGTTCAAGGCCCCCAGCAGCAGCAGCAGCAGCAGCAGCGGCGGGATGCCCGCAGTGCTGCACGGGGTGGAGGCAATGGAGGAAGCAGCCAGCTTGCCAGCAGTGGACTGCGTGCTGCTGGCCATCTCAGGCTTCAAAGGCTTAAGGCCAGCTCTTGCTGCACTGCAGGCCGGCAAAGACGTGGCCCTAGCAACTAAGGAGGCCCTTGTTGCTGCAGGTGAGCGGGCACCCGGGGAGGCAGCAGCAGCAGCAGCAGAAGAAAAAGCAGCGGTTGCCGCAGCAGCAGCAGCAGCTGCCGCCGCAGCAGCAGCAACTGCCGCAGCAGCAGCAGCAGCTGCTGCTGCTGCTGCTGCCGCAGCAGCAGCAACCACTTGCACGCCTGGGCTCGCATGCCGCAGAACAGCAAACTCCACCCCCCCACACTTTGCCTCCACTGTGACCAGTTGTCCACTGTGGTCTCCGCAGGTCCGGTCTTCCGAAACCTCTTCAGACGAACCCGCGCCGGTGACGCCCGTGGGATGTACGGACACCTCGGGGCCCCGGGGGCCCCGGGGGCCCCTGGGGCCCCAGGGGCCCCTGGGTTTGGCAGCGGGGGAAGGGGGCCCCTGAGGAAAGAAGGAGGTGCAGCAGAGGGGCCCCCGAGGGTGGGGCGGCTGCTGCCTGTGGACAGCGAACACAGCGCCATATTCCAAGCCCTCCAGGGGGCCCCCCCCTCTTCTTATCCCCCCTCGAAGCTGTTCCTTTGTGCTTCCGGGGGCCCCTTTTTGGGGAAGACGGTGCAGCAGCTGCTGCAGGTGAAGGTTGAGGATGCTTTGAAACATGTAC